TGTTCTGAGCAAAGCCCAGGAAATGGCAACTCAGAATTTGAGCATTCCTTCACCCTCCTTTCCATTAGGTTGGAGCTCTTAGGTTGGTCCTTCACCCTCCTTTCCACAAAGTCAAGTAGAGTCCACCAAACAAACCGAGGCGAAGCCAGGACCGGTATTTAGAGAAAGAATCACCCTCTTTGGGTCAAGACCCTTTCAAAAGGAGGATGTTGACGATTGGAACCATGTGGAACCACCAAAAGACGAGTGGACCTTGCTTTCCTTTGGCGGGTGGAGTGCTTACAAGATCTTATACAAGCACCGCATGGTACCCAGAAAAATCATCTAGGTTCTAGGTGTGATGAACTTCCATCACTGTGGTCTTGTGCAAGAACATATGGTTTCGATGTAGGTTCAGTCCTTGGATCCAAGATGTCCACTTGAAGAACTGTTACTAGTAGCTTCTTGTTCCTAGTAGTAAAAATGCTCCTAGTAGTACGGCCAGGAGCCCCTAGTAGCGCCCTTGCTCCTAGTAGCGATGCCCTTTGCTCCTAGTGCTTCGATTTCCTGGACTCGCTCACTCGATCTTCAGTTGTTGAAGACCTGGACGATGCCAGGCGACCAAAAGATGCCCGGAACGCAGAGAGATGGCCGAGAGATCCCAGGCGTCAGGTGGTCGAGGTGGTCGAGGTGACCATTTCAGATCTGCACCAAGAGATGGAGAAGCTACTAGAAACAAAGTGCATCGCTACTAGCAACAAGTGCCTTACTAGTAGTAACAAGAAGCTTCTAGTAACTAATTTATATATTGTTTCTACTAGCTTCTTGTTACTACTAGTAAGGCACTTGTTCCTAGTAGCGATGCACTTGTTCCTGGTAGCGATGCCTTTCAGATCTGCACCAAGAGATGGAAAAGGTCAAAAGCTGGTGCTTTTCCAAGGTGGATTTCCTCGAGCCTCATGGAAGAATAGCTGATTTGAGATGTCACTTTCTTCATTTTCGGATTTGTGGAAAAGTGAAAATTGGATTTTTACATCGCTGGAAGGGAATAAAGTGGGCTTTCAAGCTTTCATGTGGGACTTTGAAATCCCTTCGCCATGGAAATCTCATCGGACGCCTCCGCTCCGGGCATTGGACGGAAAATCCCCCTCTGAACGCGAAGGAGTCGACAAGTCGACGACAGTTGAGCTGTTCACGACTAGTTCGCTGTTCGCTGTCGCGGTTCAAGAAGCAGTTACTTTTGAGAAGGGGATCCTCGACAAAAAGATGTAGAGAAAGTCGTTAAACAATGTTGTGTTATTTCTGGCTCGTGCGTTCATACATCATGACAATGACTGTTCAAGTGGTCTGGCTCAAGGATGTTCTTAAAAGATGCTCCTGAAGACTGTGTGCACATTGAAATGGCTCTGGTTTCATGGCCTAACCAATGCCTCCTACGGCACTGCACGTCTTGCTCGTGTTCAGCCAGGACCATGCTTTTCTTGGGAGCATACTTCTTTGGGTTGCAGTGCATCCCCAGAACTAGAACTAGCAGCTGTGAATCATTCTCATGTCATTGTTGCTACACTGCTATTTCTCATGTGAGAGAGGGGCGTGCAAAGCTATACCGGCGACGTGTCGCGGATGAAGTCTCGGATGCTTAAGACAGCTTGGGTCGGTTCCAGAGTCTGGCGACGAAATGATCACGGTGGCGAACAAATCTTCACTTCCAGGCAATGCTCAAGCGTCTTTCGTTTTGTCTGTGCTTGTACTTTGAGTAATTCTTTGATGGCTTGACCTCCAGACCTTTGACCTTTCTTTTCTCCTTCTTTCTTTTTGACAAGAACGCTGCTTGAACAAGAACACTCGCCTCCAACCTACTAGCGATGGCCTCCAACCTACTAGCAAGGAACTGAACCATTTCTTGCAACAATTTGGAACCTTGTTTGGATCCTCCCAGGCTGTTTGGGCCAAGACTAGATCTTGGCAAAGCGCCAGACAGCCCGGAACGGCGTGTCGCGTCCGGGCGCTCGTCTTCACGTCGGGTTGACGTTCTCTCGGCTCCAGATCCTCTCTGAGGAGATCGGCCCCGGCGGAGGGCCAGTCATTGACTGTAGGAATTGTGCAAGAACGCTTTGTGAAGGAAGGAGAAACAGGAAAAAAAAAGAAAAGGGACATGACAAGCAAAAAGGGAAAGGTCAAAGAAAGAACCACTTAGGGCTTTTACAATAAGGTGCAACTATAAGGCAGTCGTAGGATATCCATCACCTGTCCGGTGCTTGAACTGTTCAAACCTTTAGTGTGCCCGGTTCTATTGCCCGGTTTATCCCTGTAAAGGAAGAAAAGACAAGGCAAAGTAATTATCAGAGAAGTAAAGGAAAAACATGAAGAACATCATATTCCCAAGGCTCAGAGGTTCTTACAAAAAAATAGATAAAAGAAAAAAAGAAGGAAGGAAAGCAGAAAAATACGAAAAGAAGAGAGATCGAATGAACTGCCATGAAGTGGACCAAGTGGACTGGCCCTGCACAAGGCTCGGCCCTCTGTCCGAGCTCAGGCCGCACGGGTGGGAGCGGGGAAAACAGCAAGGCCAACGCAGCAAATCTTCGGAACGCCGGAAACGCATCGCATGAAACGCATAGAACACTGGGCAATGGTCATCTTTCTCATTTGCGAGTGTTGGCCTTAGCTGCCACTGTCCACTTCGAAGTCTGGCTTGTTCCCAAAGTATTTAAGCTGATCTCTTTGTCTAAGCTGTTGTCGATGATGCCAGAAATCGACTTGTGGGCACCAAGAAAATGTGTCCAATCGACTTGTCAGGCCTTTGGATGTGTCCTTCAGTGATTGCAGGACAACACGCAAACAAGAAATTATCTTCAATAAAAACAAATGGAACCTGCCATTTGAGATGTCTTTTGGGGTACTGCTGTGAGGCAGCGCGGATGAGATACTCGGTATTCAATGTGGACTTACAAACTAGTGCTGGCCCAAGCCCACTAGACAGGTACAATTACATAGAGGTCCCTGTTGTTTATGATCTTACAAAACTACAAAATTCAATCCTTCTACATCGAACAATTGTGTTTTTTTTTTTGAGGTTTGTTTTATGCAACACATATAACCCGGCCTTTGCAATTCAGCAGGGTTCCAAAATAGATCCCGTACGCCTGACGCCAGCCTGGACAACAGCTTCAAAGCTCTTGGGCGCATTCTGCTCTGCAGAAGCGCCGCTGATGTGCTGCTTGAGGCTCAGAATCTAATCTGCAGAATCACCTCAGCGGTGAAAAACACTTCTGTCACCAGGCAGATGCTTCCCGTGAAGGGTTTTAAGATCTTGCAGGCCTTCGATCTAGAGTATGTTGGAGGCCATCGCAATTAGGTTCCTTAAAGTACGTGTCTTAAAGTCTTTAAAAAAGGAGAACAAGTCCCCTCAGCTCATGGCCACACGCCGACACTTTGAACACGAGTCCACCCAGCTCAAATGCCACGGAGCTGCCATCCAAGATCTAATGCGACTGCCCACACAGCCTACGCGGTCCCAACGGGTCAGGCCCGGTGAGGCTTGCTCCAGTGGAGCGAAGCAACCGTCATCACCGGCTTCAGTAGCGTCCTTGCTCCTAGTAGCGATGCCCTTTGTTCCTAGTAGCTTCTTGCTCCTAGTAGTACGGCCAGGAGCCCCTAGTGAGCCCCTAGTAGCGTCCTTGCTCCTAGTAGTACGGCCAGGAGCCCCTAGTAGCGTCCTTGCTCCTAGTAGTACGGCCAGGAGCCCCTAGTAGCGTCCTTGCTCCTAGTAGTA